TAAGCATACTATATTTTCAACAAAAAGCCTGTAGCTGTTAGTGGCTGCTAATGCTCGATAAGGACTGCAAAGCTAAGGTTCAAAATTTGTGCAAGATTTATCAACATTCATCAAAGGAATAATAACCATGGAAATTATTTCCCCCAGATTTCCTACAAAATACAAGGGCAGTCTAAGTTCAGGTAGCTCAGCGACCATTCCCTCTTTATTCTTATCGAGTACAGTGAGATTTTCCTGAGCATTTTAGTCTCTTGAAGATTAAGATATGCAGAAATGAACAAGTAAACAGAGCTATGCTAATACCGTGAGAAGCTGTCCAAAAAACACTTTTCTATTTGGGCTAATGGAGGACATTAAAAATGCTATGACTCACTTTAAGCAAGGGAAAGAAATCATCAAATTAGAAAATGGTTAAATTCATATGAATTTGAGAACACTGCGGGCTTTTATTTGGTCAACACTTTGCCTAAAAGTTAACTTCTCTTTAACTGTATCACAGCCTTAATGTGTACTACATTTGCTCTACTTTTCTTTAATATATTCTCTGCAAAAAATAACAGAAGCCAAATTGTAAGGTGTCTTTTCAGAGGATTTATTTTTGCCACTGTCTAGGTATGTGTCCTCTGGGAAACAGAACTGGATGTGCAGGAGGAATGAAAAGGCTGTTGAAAAAGTGGACTTTGGAGAGGGGATGGAAGGATTCGCCTGACTGTTGCAAGGGGATTTAACTGATTGACAGACACTGCAGGACAGCCGACCCCCCTCTCTGATAGTGTTGGCAACACAGTTCTAAAGGAAAAAGGGGGGCTTAATAGAGCCTTCAGTGTAAAGAAGAGTTCTAATGTGCGACATCTTCTTTTCTATCTCTCCAGGGAAATGTGGAAGTCTTTCCAACAGATGTGTCCCCTGGGCTCTGAATCACAAGATAATTAAAAGGCACTTGACGATCAGAGGGATGCATTCTAATATTGTGCCGCATCATTTGTCTAGAACACTGCACAGTGCCGTTGTCAGAGGGCTCTATGCAAATAGGTAAGAAAAAAAGTCATCACCTGGTTTTCATCATGCAACGATAGGGAGGGGTATTATTTTGTCAAACACTGAGATAGCACAGAAATCTGGTTACCTCTAAAAAGGGCACAAGTATTATATGACTTTTGTCACTCTATTTACTACCAAGGACATGCCATATCAGTAGGTCTCAGCACAGCGTATGGTACAGCATCTTTTAAATAACAATCATAAAGTCACATTTTCGGGACAAGTAAGCAGAGCAGATATCCAGCCGAAGCATCCAGTGAGGAGCAGGGCAGAGGGCGCAGTTATCTCAGCACCAATCATATGTATTGCTCAACAATCCTATCAAACCTCCACAGATATTTTATGGTCACCGTGTTCTTAAGGTCAGTAATAATCATATTTATTTTCAGACTCCATAAAAATCAGTCATCTTGTAGGAAAGCTTGTCTCCCCTTTTTCGGGTTGTAGAAGTCACCCTCTGGTTAACTGACCATATCTGTTCACTGGGAGATGCTTGCTCAGAATCGAAGGAGGCTGTTCAGCTTTGGATCTGGAATTGAGGCTGTAGATTGGATTATGATGCCATTTTTAATCCGTCTTTTTCCCTTGCAAGATATTGCTCCACCCCTGCTTCTTAGCGTTATACAATACTTGACAAGAGGAGATTTTGCTGAATTCCGCCACAGTGATGACTATGTGATTCCTTGTGACACTCTAATTTGAGCTTATAGTGCCAAAGCTTTGATGCAGACATGGGAATAGAACTTTTAGTCACAGAGACCCTTCTCTCCTCTGGGTCCATTTAAAAGGTCCCACTCATCTCCTTGTGTACTTTAATTACAGTCATCTTGTCCTGTCCCTGATCCTCATTTTGGAGGAAGTAGGCATCCAAGTATCATGTTTCTCCTTTAGTTCATTAAAAATAAAGTACTAGCTGAAACTCATCTTAACATGCTGTGTTAACTGACATGAAGTAATGTTTTTCTCCAGCTAACATGTGATGGGTTTTAGGAGTTTAATACTGATAAAAGGGTGTCATAGATGTTGCCTTCCTTCAGTAATGGGCTATTATCCTTTAATTGACTTGTATATCTATTAGTTAATTAAGTTTATTTATCTGTTTATGTTTATATGTATGTCTTTCCCCTGTTACCAAGAGAGAAATATATGAGAATCTTTTCCCAAACAGTGATAACCAACCAGCACAGTCTCAGTTTTTTATTCTCCTGATTGAGTGCCACATCTGTGGTTTTAATTGTAGAGTTGATTGATTATGTAATCATAGTGTTGAGTGCTTGAACCGCAAGCAAACTGCTCTCAGATCGCCAAAATGTTTAATTATGGTAATATACAGTATCCACCCTCAGACCCCGGACAAGTGGGTGGCTAACCTCATTTTTTAGAACACTTCTCTCTCAGCACATTTTCATTTATCTATTTATTTTTGGTACATCTCACTGAAAGAGACACACATGCATCTATTTCACTGAGAGCAGTGTGAAACAGATTCCCTGTTTCGTTTGTGTCTTGCTCAAAGACACTTCAAAACTGATGGCTGGTGCCAAATCTCTGACCTTTCACTATCAGGACAGACTCCCCAAGCCCAAAATCACCCTTCCTCATGACATTTAACACAGTGAGTAAGAGAGCAGAGAGGGTCAGAGGAAACACAACCAGCTGGGAGGAGCACAACAAAAATGGCAGACTGTCTAATACATATCTCACTTCTTCACGATGACCTGTCCAGACTGTGTGTTTATTCGGAAATAGGAATCCCTAACCAACATACTATCTGAGTGGTATGAGTATAAAAAACAATATGCCAAGATGCCTGGTATACTTGTTAAAGGTTTTGACTGAGCAGACACAGACAAAATACTATATGGAAACTGACAGCTTATTAATGCAGAATTACCCAATCACCGATTGGAAACACTAAATAACAGAACTGATCACCTGAGTCTGGTTCTACCTGAATGAAACAACTGGCTGAAAGGCAAGCACACGAAATCCTATCATGGTTGTACAGATATCTCTTCTCTCTCTTTCTGTCTAACTCTCAATCATACACACAAACAACTAATAAAAAATAAATAAATAAATAAAAACTTTTCATGACAGCTTAAGATAGTCCATCTTAAATACAAAATTAAGCAGGAAAAATCCAACGATCTCAGCCACCACGGTGTATTTGTCCCTTCTCTCAGGATAAACAGACAGATAAACATGTCTGTTTTCTATTCTAGGAAGAGTCTTATTTAGCCTTTGCCTCCGACACCCCAGGCCTGTAAGCAGCTCGCACTACAACTCACATGTCTCTCAAAGTCAGACATCTTGTTCTTGAGGGAGAAAAAACCCCTCTCTGTGATAAGTGATAGTTTCGATATCGCATGTCATTAAATCATCATAGTCAATCAAACACCAGGCAGCCGAGACAACAGTCAATGTCACAGACAAGGAGAAATGTTACAGTACGTGTAACAATGATGATACTGCTCTATATCCCTTTACACCAGCACTAATGTCTCCACATGATTTAAATGATAGGTGGTGAATGCACTGGTGAACTAAATGCCAAGGCTGACACAGCTTGTAATGAAATAGTTTTGCCTGAATTATTTAACTAGAGAAAAATGTGTTCAATTAAAAGAGGCTAAGGTTCATTCCCTACGTACAATACAAGCGATGAGGTTGTCAAAATAAATGTATTTTGTCAAATTTATTTAAACTATTTTAGTTGAAGGAAGCAAATTATGTGAGCAGTTTCGATCAAAAGGCATTTCATCCTATGAGGCCCGTCTAATAATATCAACTCTGTATACACACCTGTTTATACTATAGAGTGTTTAGTGTGTACAGTATGCAGATCAAGCCACAGCATTGGCAACTGCCTCTGTTTTTGGCAATGAATAACAAGTGCAGACAAACAGCTCATACAAACAGGACATCTGAGATGCTAAAAATCTGAGATGCTAAAAAAGCCATATGCATATGTATGCATTTGCTTATGAGTTTAATTTCATCCACTATTTAAAAGCACTCTTTGATAACCCTTCCGAAATCTTAAAAGCGAGGACCTTAAATCCAGTTAAGAGCCTCCATGTGGCCATGAATCAGATGCATATGGCCAATAACATACTCAAGGGCACTACGACGGAATCTGTCCGACAACGACAGTGCCTATGGACTTTCTCTATTCGCTTTTACTGCGGTATTTTGTCAATAGTACAGACAACACTATTAAATGCTGAAAATGTGTTGATCAATTCAAAATTGCCCTACAAGTATAATTATTAATCACATTTAATTAAGTGTAAATAATTTAACACTGTTGCTTTTCAAAATAAAGAAAGAAGAATAAGAAAATCAATATGTAAGCCTGTAAAGACAATGTGAAGTGAAGGCCTCATCACTAACCCTAATCAGTGATAAATGAAGCCCCCTGAACACAGGTTTTCTCAAATAAAGGAGAAGAAACCACTAAAGGGATTCAATTATGTATCCATTTGGACAGCATCTGCACAAGATAGGTAAACTGGCCTAATTAGCAATGGTTGATATATCAGAGGGTTGTTTCATAACACAACACAGTGTGTCTTCAGGCCTCCTAACTAGTGAATAGAATTTTTCTTCCGTTATGGTACTGAAAAATTCCTCATTCATTTAGCCTATAAATAAATAGATGAATTGTAGGGGTTTCATAAAGCAGCCAAGCACATCAATAACAGTTATGTCTTTGGTCTTTTGTCTGTCTTTGGAAAATGTAATCTCTCAGCATGAAGGAGTAAGATAAGTGATGAAGGTGGTATAAAGCTGGATAAAACGATGACTGGGCTTCTCTTAAGGTGATGAATGCCCTAATAAATGATAAACACACTGAGAAAAAACATCTGGGCCTGTGCAAGGCATCTACGTCAAAGTGACGCCTTATGCTTAAACATTTGTTGTGAGGAGAGCACGTGTAAGGTGTCTGAATTTACCTGAAATCACTGTAAGGATGAATTATCCAAAATCCGGCGGATTTAACCCGCTCTTGTTCCCGTTCAACCGCCTTCTCACTTCCAAACATCCTCAGGGAGAACTTGTTGACCCCTGGTTGAAGCATCGCTCCAAACTGTCTGTGCATGAACCCAGCTTGATATAATCTCTCATCGTCCGGCAGAATTTGATCAATGCCATCCAACTTTATAAACCCTGCCTGCTGGCCTGGGGAGTCGTTTTGGGTACCACCGCCACCGCTGGCACCTTGCGCGCCTTGATCCGGCGGCCCATCACCGATGGCTCCGGGGGGGCTCTCCTCGCTTGGGGTGACATCCCCCTCGGTGATGAGGCGCCTCTCCTCCGCCGAGTCCGAGTCGTGCACATGCCGACTTGTGATGGACGAGAGGCTGCCTCGAAACCTCCGACAATCTCCATTTGAGCTGGTCTTCATCGGTCTCCCTATGTCCGTCTCCATGATCACAGACTCCCCACCTTTGCTCTCCCCGATGCCTTTGCAGCTTCCCCCAGAGGTCGGCGACGGTAGAGGTTTCATCCTAATACTCTTCCTCCGGGTGTCCTTGTCTGCGTCTTCTCCTTCGCCCATTATAGATGCTTTCTGTCCAATGTGCTGTGGCAAACTGTAGAGCCTTTTACGCATGGAGGAGTGCAACCTGTCCATTATGACATTGAGACACAGTGGAGAAAATTAAATGAATCCTGATTGTTAGGCTGTATTGAAACGATTATTGCCACCAGCCCCGCGCTCCCCTATCTGTTTGTGAGAGCGATCAGTCTGGAGCTAATCTGAATCCCTGAAAGCCTGCTACACATGACATGGACCGCCGTGGCTCTACTGAAACAGATGGGAGACACTCTTTTTCATAATTAGACTACCTGACAGTTTGCATATGTCCTCACGCACAGTCTGGGCGGTCCGCTTGGCCACTGCGTCCCCGATGTACATCTTTGTGCCGTTTCGACATTGTGCGCAAAAGTGGAAAAACTGCTTGAAAGTCACCTTTGCGTGACATGTGAGGGATGTGCCGACGGACGGTGATACGGAGACGAGAGAAAGGTCATGCGCGACGAAGGATGCTCTTTTCGTCAGATGTCTTGCCAGCTGCCGTCAAACAACGCGACACAATCATGCAAAATACAGTAGAGCATTCCAGGGACCGCTGACATCACTGATCCATAGTCAGGGTGCGTTTTGGTGAATTGTGAATATTCATGATGCTGATCTATTGGGTTGCCATAGGAGCGAGAACTGCAAATAAGCTCAGCCCACCTTGTTTAAAGGGGAATGCTCTTCCCATTCTTAAAACGCTCCACTGTTCTCTCAAGTTAAGGCTACAGGTAGGCGATGCAAACCCATTGTTCAGCTCGGCGAGGCAGGAGGCTCCAGATGGATAAACCAAGCAGTCTGTTTGCGATCCAGATGATCACGCTGATCCACTGCGTAATTTGCGCACACAAATACAGTTGAAGCTAGAAGAGGCTCGCGTTTTAGGCTCTCATAGGGAACGCAGAGTATGCGCGTGACTTCTCAAATGGTAACAAATACAAACAAATACATGCATTCTTTGACATTTGATATCATTTGTCAACCCAATTAGAAGTTATTATCCACAAAGTAACCTTTTTACAGACGGTGTCACAACAAAAGCACTGTTAAAATAAATAGTTTAACTCGGCTTAATTTCGAATTTGACATATTCTCTTCACGTCCAAGCTGATAACAAACAAAACCATTTTTAGAAAGGTGTACTGTCTTCAGAATAATGCACTTAAGTATTTTGATCTTATGAGTAAACCCTTCCGACAAATATGTAGGCTATTCTTTAATATCTTCAGTAATGATGTGTAATACTAACTTCACCATCGCCCCCCCCAACACACACACACACACACACACACACACACGCTCACACACTCACACACGCACGCGCGCGCACGCATGCACACACACACACACACACACACACACACACACACACACACCACCACCACCACCACCACCACCACCCCACACACAGCCAATAATTAAACATTTACCACATTCATGTGAAAATAGAGGTACCTTCAAGCCTTTATGTCATTCATTCAAGTCCTAAGTAGGCAAATGGGAGTTTCAATATATGAAGATCCCTTTCTTTCTGTCATAAATATCAATATGATCATAACAAAAAAAAACATGATAGTCTAATGTAAGTTTACAAGCAGATCCAGATTAATCCTACAAGAACATGGGAATATATAGGGAGAGCATTTCAGGATTTGTATAATAAAATTAAACCAATCTAACTTATCTATTGATTTATCTTTGCTTTATATTAAAGTGATGAATACAATTTGATTTTCATTTTGGTGAAAATAAAGACTTTTTGTGTTGGATTTTTAAAACTTTCTTGTTTCTAAAAATAATACTCTGCTATGATTAATATTTGTTTAGAAGAGATTTTCTAAGAGAAACATTTAGGAACCCTAAAGGAGTTTTAAATCAAAACGCAACTGGACTTGATTATTTGTCTGGGAAGACGTTTCACCTCTCATCCAAGAGGCTTCATCAGTTCGTGTACGCATCTGACCAGGCTGGGACTGGCTCCTTTAGGATACCATGACCTGGACAAATGAGAATATGCACAGGCAAACATTTAGGAACAAATGTTGCACACACTCCTTTCAGACCTTATAATTTAAGACAAAGAGAGAGGGAGAAAGACCGGTGTTTGTGACTACCATGCTAAACTAATGTCACAGAAATACAAATACAACGCTCCACACGTATAATCTGTAGTATTTTCCCATACTGAACATACCTTCTTTCACAGTGTTGTAAAACTGCCACACAGCCCATGTCAGAAACGTTTGCTTCCACACACTGAATGTACAGCAAACCTAGACAATATAAGTCACATGGCTGCACACTTTAGCATATTCTTGCTTATGTCCTACCTGTGCAGTGCGTTCCTTGTGATGAGTGTTCTCTTGTTAGGCAAGCTGACAGGCTGCCACAGGTATCTGACACAGCTGGACCAATGAAATGTCCAGATGGCTATATCGGCTGATATTAGTTGTTTTATATATATATATATATATATATATATTATATATATGTTTGTGTGTGTGTGTGTGTATTGTATACTGAGGCACTATATGTCAGCTGGTAAGTAAGAAGAAAATGTAGTACAGAAATGCCAAACTAGTTTTGAGGTAATTTAGAAACAATATCCTTTACACACATCTCTAGTGTAGAGCACTGACAAGTGGATTTTTAATCCTAATAATAAATGGAAAAATCTGATGAATCAAGGAATCTCTGTCCGTCTGTTTTTATGTGAGAACACAAATCTACTCAAGTGCACAAACCACTAGACAACAGAAAGTAACAAACTCAGCCTGCGTGCCTCAAACAACTCAACATCTTACCAGACAAGTTACCAGAGCTTGTTAGGGAACAGGACAGAGTTACTGAAACACAGCCATCCATGGAACAAGAAAAAAGATAAAAACCCCAATCTACTGAGGAAGCAGCTCGTGAGCCAGGCCAAAGGCCTCAGCCAGTCAACCCTGGGAGTACTAAAAATCTCAACGTGGTTGACCTTGTGGAGCCATCAACTCAACGACACAGAGTTTCCTTCTCTCCAGAGAGCACCATCAAAACGGCACATAAAGGAGGGACAGAGGACCAGCAAGAAAGAGAGGACTCGGCCTCAGAGGAAGACGGCTTCCACTGATCCATTCAACTTTGTCTTTGGATTGACTGTGATTCCATGACAGCCTGCAGCAAAACCAAAAGAACATTCTTCACTGAAGATGGAAGCAGAGGCAGCTGTGTCAAATTCTGTGTCTACTGACACACAGTCTGCAGAGACAGATGAAGCACAGTCTGCACTGAGGATGGAAGCAGAGGCAGCTGTCTCAACTGCTGTGTCTACTGATACAAAGTCTGGAGTGAAGACAGAAGCAGGAACAGATGTGTCTTTGCCTCTATCTGAAGAAGACCCCGATATGGAAATGGAGCTGACCAAACAGGCCCTCCATCAAATACCTGAGCTAGAGCTAAATCGGTTCATGGGTGAGACAGAGGAGAAGATATAGCTGCTGGAAGTAGAGAACCGAGCCTTGATAATGGAGGCAGAGCAGTTGAGACTAGAACTGACAGACATCACAGAGGAGAAGATGCCTTATAGTTGACCTGTCCACATCATGGAAGATGGAATGGGATGCTTCCCTAAAAATACAAAAACTGGAGGAAGCTCTCAAAGAGGCAACAGAGAAGAAGAAATCCAGGCACCTTCCAGCCTTAAAGCATCATTGATCAAGGTGCAGGAAGACCTGGACAAGAAAAGGCTCTGGACGGCAAGGAACAAGAGATCAAGGGATCAAATGATGGCTAAATCAATCAATCTGAAAAAGTGTTCTTCAGTGATTGAGGTTTACCACTGTATCAAAGTGTTCTCATATGTCTTGGACTAGTTCAACTTTGCAATGAGGATCTGGGCATAAAAACGTACTTTTGACTTCAATCTTAAGGCATGGTGCATTTTTGAAGTTTCAGTTTTCAACTTTTATTCCCAAAAAATGTTGGTACTAGTAAGTCAAAGTAGCTCTAACCCACACCTACAATCTTGTTTCATTGACCTGACTCCAGGTTTGATAACTCCTGACTCCAAGCTAGCTTTTTTGTTTTGGTTAACTTTTGTTAATGCCACTATCCGAGGGTTTCCCATACTTTCTCCTGCCTACACTGTGAATGTTTGAAATGTTTTCAAAATGGACAAGAACAATACAATGATTTGTGTGTTGTTAGTTATTAGTTAGTTTGTTCATAATTGTAACTTGGATGAAGATGTGACCACACTTTAGGACAAATTTATACATAAATGGAGGTAATTCCAAAGGGTTCATTTACATTTTCTTGCCACTGTATTTATAAACACATTTCCTCCATGAACAGAATATGGGGAGAAGTCAGCAGGTTCTTAGTCTCACCTGTAGGGCAGACATGTTGGTGGCTTGAAGAGCTTGCTGTAGAGCCTGGCTGAAGAGATCGTTACTGACTGGGGTCCCTGCTGGCATGGGAGCTACACCACTGGAGGGGTCAGACTAAATCAAAGACAGAATGACAGTTAAGAAAAAAAATAAAATAAATGTATTCATCTGCACGAAGGTGGCCAGGTTTTGTTGCAGAGATCATATTTCAGAAAAATATAAATGTATTGTCATCAGTTCACTGGTTTGAATAAAAATAATGGGTCTGTATATCTTTTTCAAAATGTAAATAAATCTCACCTGGCTTGCTGTTGTGGGAGTGACTGCACTGCTGTCAGGAGTGCTAGCGAGGGCCAAAGCTGTTGCCAGCTCACTCTGTGTTATTGGTCGAGGGCCTGTCGCTCCAATGTGGCTCAGATAAGGAAACATCCTGCCTGTTTCTTAGGAGCACCAAGCAAGCTCTGGGCAACAAGGAGGAAGAGAGATAAAACTTTAGGGATAAACTGATGGGGAGATTAAACAATCAAGGAAATCAGATGCAGGAGGTTCAGAGCAAAACAAAGAAGAAACCTATGTGGAGATGATTCTTCCAGCTATACAAGAACTGTGGGGGGGGGCATGATTCAGTGATCAGGACAGCCTTACAGAAAGCAGCTAAAACAATTTCTTCTTTCTGTGAAAAAAAATTGATGTAATCACATTGTCAATAAAAAATAACAAAAAGTGTAATCTTACAAGCCTTCATTTTGACTCAAACTCAATATGAATTTGTCATCAGTGGGCATTCATAGCAGATCCACAACAGTTTTCAATAGTGCAGCACTGACTGAGGGGGATGCATGCTGGACTTCAAACAATGCTTGCTGGTTTGAAATTTTGCCCAACATTCACTGGTGCTGCAAAACGTCATCAAGACACATGAGATTAAAACCTCACAGCAGCAACCACTTGGAGCCACCTCTGTGACAACAGACCTTTAAACAAGTTGGCTTAAGGCTTAAATGACAACGTGGTAAGTTGACATGACATGTGGTATGTTTTTATTCAAAGAACTTCAAATTAATTATCTCATATTGTCATCTCTCACACAGGGTATGCCATTTGTTTGACCTCCTTCTTCTGGCAGATCTTTTTTTTTTTTTTTTTTACATATGGGAAACATAGACTATAGTTTTCATATCTAGCAAAAAAGTTACCCTTGTAGGTAATAGTTTTATCTTTTAGATTTCTTTTCTTTTCACCCTCCTAGCAATATTTTTCTCGCTCTCTCTCTCTTTTTGATACTTTCAAGTCTATGGTTCTAATCAACATCAAGATCCATAGATTATTACCTTAGAAATTGATTTTTTGTTAAATGCTTTATCTCACAAAAAATCCTGGATCCACCCCTTTAACTTGATGGGCACCAAATTTGAATGGGTTCCTCTATGACCCAAGACCCATAAAGTTTGGTGCAAATCAGTTCAGTACTTTTTGCATAATCGTGCTGACAAACAAACATGAGGTAATAAAGAATGTTATCTCTCTAATACCTGCTCTATTAGGTATTCCATGTGTGACTTCCCTCCCATACACCTTAACCCATCCCCCTAGGTGTTTCCATAAAACATTACTCACATGTTATTTCACATGTGTCAAAAGACTAATGTAACCTTGAGTCTGGCCTGAAAATATTTTAGAACAGCATATGTTTGGGTGAGTAAACAATGTAACAGTGCATTTTGCCTGACATACTGAGAATGGCCCCCTTATTTGAAATGCTGGCCCCCATACACTCATCTTTTAAAATGCAAAAGCACACAACAGCTGTGCATGCACAAGATCACTCAGTGTTGTGAGCTGGCTGACACTACAGGATGTAGAATGTGCCCGACTTGACGGCAGTCTTTTTTTTACCCCACCCCTGCAGTCACCAGCAGCATCACGTCAGTCAAGTCAGTCAGCCTAAGTCAAAATGAATGCAGTTGTTGGTATTAGTAGGTTATTGTAAAATCGTGTAATGTCTGACTCAAGTGATCTGTATCAAGATATTATGTTCATGTTATTTCACTATATGGTAAAAAAAAATCCAATGGCAGAGATCATTTTAGATATTGTAACTCCCAAAATCAGTATCAGTCGGGATATATTATCAAGCCCCAGTTAGTTTCTAGTTTTCTCAAAGGCAGCAGCCAGATGTCAATGGATGGCTGCAGAAGGGTGGCCAGGGGCACCAGCATTACAAATGAGCTGGTATTCTTGAGAGCATCTTTGAACAGAGACCAGGGTTATTTTCTCCCATCAATATATGACGACTTGTCACTTGTTCAGCCATGAGACCATGTGATTCTGCTGAAATATGCTTTTACTGTATTTACACTGGCTGTATATGCATTCTATTATACTAATACTACTTTCGTTCTGTGTATGAAGTCGTAAGGTTAATTAATACAGTATTAATTAATACGGTACATTCATTTTGTCTCCACTTTATACATTTTTATTTCCTGGTATGTCCAGGCCATTAGTTTCTTTAATACTCAGTACTCAGCTACAACATACCAGACTAGATTATGACAAGAACGTAAAAAAGATGCAATCCTAGCTGACTTTTGTAAAATTTAATATGTTTCCCTTATTTTGCTGAGCACATTATCTATCTGTCTATCAGTGGCATGACTTTTACAGACTGGCAAGCAGAGCTAAGCAAAATATTTAGCATTACCTGAGAATGACACACTCCAATGATAATTCAGAATCCTGCACTTCCCTGCTGCAGTGTTGTTACCCTTTCCTGGCTTATATCATCGGGACTGTAGTTGGGAAGCACAAGGGAGAAGCAGGCACTTGGGTCTTGAGGAGTCGTAGCATTTATTTAGTGGCAATCCGCCTGAAGTGCACATATATTTACTGTTATGTAAAAAACTGCACTGCTAACTGCTAACTAATAAGCTAACTCTCTGCTCTTGTTGCCAGCCTAATCTCTCTCTCTCTCTCGCCCGCTACGCACACAACCTACATACTGAGCCATTCCTGAAAGGAGCTGCCGTACTTGTGTAGCAATATTCTGTCTCAAACTTCTCACAGAGATGATAAATCGGTGTAATTTCCACGTTAAACTTGCTACTGCTGCCTAGTAAGTTTAATGCACAAGTTTAGCTTCCGTGTATTCTCAATGCGCATGCGCAAACCTCCAAAAAAAGGAAAGAATTTGTTTTCTGGAAAATGGCCACCAACCAGGTATGGAGATTGAAACGCTATGGGCGTTTCGTCCCAGGCATCAAAGACAAAAGAGGACAGCCTTGGAAGGTAATTACTCGTTTTTAATGAAAGCCGTTATGATTACTAGACAGTTAACATTAGTTTTATTAAGCTAACGTTAGCTCTGTGTAGTAATACATTGTCTGACATTAGAAGCCGCTTGCGCAACTACCATTGTTGCTGGTGTATTGGTTCATTAGCATTGTGTGCGTACATATGAATTACAATTCCCTTATATTGTTGGTGGAGTTCTACCTGCTAGCTAGGATACTCGTTTTGGGGTATCCTAGTTGGCAGGTAGTTAGGTAGGTGGGTCTAAGGGCTGCTGATGTCAGACCACGCGATACTACACAGAACGCGGGTTATTACTTTGAGTCATGGAGCTATTTTTTTTTTTTTTTCTAACTTTCTCTGCATATTGAACTCTGGCTATTTTGATTCCGCCGTATTCATAATACTCTTTTCTATTTTTCCTTTCATTTTCTCCTATTTTTTGAGTAATCCATTGATGATTAAGTGTATGAAAGCTGTCTTTATCATGTTACTAGAGCTCATAAAGCTAGATGACCTGAAAATGTTTATTTTGCCACAGTCACAAAACATAAAGGTATTTTTAGTTAATGACATGGCAAAGATAAACGTTGCTTGTATTGCATACACCTTTTTTTATGTTGGAATCTGTACAGAAGAATTTAGAGATGTTGCAGTTCCAGTTTTTGTTAGTGGGAACTCATGTTAACTGATACGATTTCGTTTGAAGCTTCACTCTCAAGTAAAACAGTTCTGCAATGATTCCCAGTCCTGTTTTAAATTCACTTTTGGAACATGACACAAAATACTCACATGACAAAAACTCTGATTTCCAGAAATATAAATTTTAACAATAGCTTATTAATAATCGTATGAAAGGGATAAATATCTGTCAAAGTTGATACTGAACACGGTTGATTTTGGGGCTCAAGATATATTACTGTAGATCATATATTATAGCAATGATTTGACTTCTACTGTCTGGAAGGCTTGTGGAAGTGTATATTGCCTAATGTTATTTGAGTTTCAAAATATCAGTTCAGTTGTGAGCTGGGAAGATAGTTAACAAGTTGTAATAGTTGTAACAAATTGAGTAAGTGTAGCTTTAAGGATTGTGGCTTTGTCTTTCATTGACTGCATCAGACTCTAGATGGCAAGCTGGAGCTGCATGTTTTGTGTGAAAACAATGGTGATGGAGGACTGTGAAACTGAATTCCACCTACTTTATACTGTATTCTGCGTGACAACTCTGAGAGCAGAACTACAATAATATTCCAAACTATTAATTTAGATGGAATTTAGTTACATTTACAATAAGACTCGCACATAACAGGGTGTAACACACAGTTCAACTCAGTTTGTGATCATGGAAATATAAGCTTTCATCTGATTGATTTTATTTAAAAAATGAATCTGATCAACATTCATTAGCACTTTAAAAAAAACCCAATGATATTGAAAATGATATCAAATACACAGTGTCTTAACAAACAGTCAGTGAAATCATGTTCTCAAAATCTGATAGAATTGAGAACCTTATAAAGCAGTACTTATGAAATGCCTCATTTTATCTCATTTAATTACATCATCATTTAACCAAAGACCCAACACCCTCCAAAATGTATATTTGGAACCATCATGAGATTATCAGGAAAACTAACCAGTCACTGTAAATTTGCTCTGGTTAATATCCTCTTCTCTTCACCAGGTATTTAAGACAAATGACAGTAAACCTGAGATTGTCCTTACAATTGTGGAATCTGGATATTTGCTCGTATTGCAAGGACAGGAAAGCTTGGTAAGAGAACTATGTGGCTAGATTGACTGTTTTTGCTTTTCTTTATTTATATTTTGTTTTCATAAATTGTCCCTTATGCTGTACCCACAACATCTGAAGATTAACCATTATTTTCCATATTCTAGTACACTGCATGTTGTGATCCAGCCTTATGGGTGTGCTTGTTGGTAGTGAGAAGGCTGTTCTTTTAACTAACTTGTTTCTTTACAGCTTTCTGAAACTTGTGCAGTGGTTAATACCATATATGGGATTCGCGTCATTGCTGATTCCAATTCTACCATTTCACTGTAAAGCCTTACTGTCTTTCAAATTATTGGTTTGAAATGTGATTCAACCCTTCAGGAAAAAGAACAAAAAATGCAATAAGACACTAAAATATACCCTGAAAGATTAGCAATTATAGATTGAAATATACAAAAATTGTGCTGCAATAGCATGTACAAAGGGTATTCAAGTGATGATTAAAATTAAAATAGAGTTAGATTTAGGATAGACTTCAGTCTCACAAATACATAAAAATCATAAGTTGAAATTTGGTGGAGCAGCATGGTGCCTCAATTAATTCTTATATTCAAATACAGACTTTCAGCTCAGGGTTAGACCCTGATATTTCAGCTCTGACTGTAGCAGATGTCAGTGCATAAAACACTGTGTTGCATAGGTGTTGCAATGTGCCTTTACATGAAGCTATGTAATTCCAAAAATAAATTGTGGCTATAGGGGAATTGGTTGAAATCATTTAAGGCTGCAGCTGCGAATGTCATGCTCCAACACTGGCAATTTGTAGTACGTCACAGTTATTATTGGTTGTCCTCCCCCATATGGAAGGGAACATTGAATATGAATTCTATTAATTATAAGTAATGCTGGTCCAAAGTGGCATTCCTGGATGAAACATGACTGCTCTGCAGAGTGTACATATAGCATGTATCACTACACTGTAGCTTTTGCGTTTCTTTTTGTGCTTTGTTATTTACCAAGGATTCTATGTGAATATAAAGAAATTAACAAAAAATTATGTTTATGTAGAGACAGTATAATTACTATGTAATAGCATTTTTTTAATAACACCTTTTACAAAAAGGCTAAAAAGCAGATTTACCATTTTCTCAGCAGATTTTTTGGGACGTAAATGAGAAACAGAAATCTGCTTTCCAGATAAAAGGCTTCGATGAAGGCCATATGAAATATTCTGCTGAAGAGCTTGACATTTCTGCTCAAATCTTATGGGACTTGACTGGAGTGTTGGTTCAAGCCACAGGTCCCTCAGAACTTTCTGGGTACAGGTTCAAAATCAGTTAAAGACTATTATTGGGAACAATTTGGGCTCAGGCTCACAAAAAGCCTAAAACCACCTCAGCCTTGGTTCAGATTTTGATCTGGTAGTCAGGTTAGGCAAGAATTTGCATGCCTTTATTCCATTTCTATTTTATGATAAGATGGACTGTGTACATGTACAACTCCACAAGTAGGACAATACCAGTTGTGGAAAATCAGAGCAAGAAACTGAAGCTACCACAACAAATAATGGTAAACAGTGTGGTAATCCAACTGTTTCTGCACATAATCTTTTATCAGGTGTGCTACACTGTAGAAGTCAGCTTAAGCATGTAAAATAGTAAGAGTAGAACACAAATTTGGCATTTTCACGAGTTATTGTGGCCTAAGTTAGCTTCCTGCTCTGCAGACAAAAGACATTTGAGGGACTAACCAATGTCTCATTAATGGCGTTCTGGCAGGACACAAGGCTATCTTGCTGCGCCAGGGTGTCGAGCCAGACAGATATTCAGGTCAGACTGCAGAGAGCTTTCACTGGGGATGATAGACTGGTCTATTATGGCTTGGTGCAGTGAATGCTCAGGAACTTTCAATACAGAGAGCTCAGGCCTCTAGGCTACATGATAAGGTCTGAAAGAAACTTCTGGAATTGTCTTTGAACATCACTAAAATTTTGTTGAATTAGAGAAAGTCAAGCGGGGACTGATGAGCTTAAGTCCTCTCCTTAAAATATGATACTCTTGACTTAACAAAATAACAAAAAAAGCAAAACAAAAAAGTAAAGTCGGTAGTGTTTAATGCTTAATATCTTTTGCATTCATTCTTTCTGCATAAGTGTCAAACGAAGGAAAAAACCCACCACGAGCCACTAGAACAGCTTCAGTGCACCTTGGCATAGATTCTCAGGAAATCCTCTTGACAGATTGACACCATACTTCCGAGGAATATTCCCTCATTTGGTACTGTCACGATGGTTGTGGAGAAAGCTGGCTAACATGCCAGTCCAGAATGCACCAGAGGTGTTCAGTTAGTTTGAGATCTGGTGACTGAGAAGGCTATAGCATGTGATTCATATCATTTTCATAAACCATTCACTGAGCACTGCATGGAAGTATTTGCAGTGAAGATGAGTTTATGTTTTGTTTTCTAGCAAACAGTACAGTGGTCACCTAAGTTTGAATTTTAATACAAATTCATACCAAAGAACATGCTTCAGCATTTATATATCCCACGGAAAATCACATCTTTCTTTCACTGCAACTTAATTGAGACGATTCCCCCCTTGAATTACAAATCATAATATTGCTCAGTCTCAAAAATGTTTGAAAAAATTTTTATATCTACACTCATAATTATAAAGTCAAAAAAAAAATCAAATTTATCAAAATAGGTCATAATATTAGGCTATTGTTACATACATCTGCTTGTTTAAATGTGTGTGTGAATGAGCTTGTAAGCCTCAAACCTGAGGTTTAGAGGTTACTGAGTAAATAGAGACCCCTGCAGGCAGTTTCAGGTAACTATTTTTTTCTTCCTGATAAATCTAGAATACTTACTTTTGTCCTTGAATTTCATTCAGTAGTTGTTTCTGAGTGAATGAGTGGAAATCGAGCTGATGGAGCAGTAGAAAATTTGAATGTTTTTTAATTCAGTGTTTTTTTATGTTATCCATCAGGTAATGTAGCCTGTGGATAGAAATTCCCTGTCCTGGCTGCTAAAGATGTTCATTCTCTTGTCTTTTCTCAGGATACAATCCCATTGCTCTGTGGCTCAGACTCTCTCAAAGTACAGCAGAAATCTGATAACCTGATGCTTCAAGTTACTGTAAAGGTGAGTTGTGAGATGGATTCATACACGCAGTCATATGGTGGGTAGTGGCCTCTCAAGGTCTGGCCTAATACCTTGATTCTCTTGCAAGATCAAGATCCTCATATTTATTACTATAACAAATTGTAAAAGAAAACTATTAATACTCAAAATGTGGATTATTAGGTTTTTTTATACAGTTTATTCCAATGCTGTACTGCTGAACAGCCTCTCCATAGTGAAATTATCACTTGTATGATTTGCTGTTAACATTAAGCGTTTCATCATAGTTGCCTTCATGTGTACCAAACCCTTTTTATCTTAATGAGATGCTGATCCCACAAAAACATCATACAGACAGAAGAATATGTTTTCATTAGACTGACAGATAGAGATCAAATGTGTTTGTGGATTTCTGCAGGGAGAAAGTCGCATGATAAGGATGCAGTTTGATGGAAGTAGCAGGGCAGAGGCTATAAAGGAGTGTTCAAGTGCTGTGGAAAAACTGATGGAGTACTTGCCTGTCACCACTCAGGATGACACCCCACCACCCCATAATCAGCCCCCCACTGAAGTCTCTGCACCAGTGATACAGGTTGCCAACTTTACAGTTCACTAAATAAATTGTCTGTTCTGTAACCAGCACCGACACTGACAAAATGTGTAGCCTATAGAAATCCCCTAAAATATGGCTGTGACATTAAGAGTCTGGTTTGTAGCTGCTGCTTTTTTCTCCCTGCCATAGTCCTTGTTTGATGGGAATGAGACATTGATCTCTATGCAACTATGTATTTTACTCTATTTTTTTAAATTTAAAGATATATCAGTGTAATGTAAATTGCCATAGCTGAAGATATGCAGTTATTATTCACTGCTTAGTCAACAGTATTGTCACAATGCTGTGGTCAGCTTCATCAACAGTGGCCATATCATCCTCACTAGATGGTGCTATTTGCAATACTGTTTTATTCTTAGAGGTGACACTACAACTGCAGTAGGTGGAGTGAGATAGACTATATACTGCACATGTCTCATTAGCCAATTACAATGCAATATATGGTGTAGAATACAGTATGTCCCACCCCAAACACACACGCACAGACAGGAATGTAGAACAATAATATAATTAATTCATAAATACAACCATCAAAGTGGCATACCCCTTAAGCCACTGAAGAAAATAGTTCTTAATATTGCCTGTAACAGTCAAATTGTTGATAAGGAAAACAAACATTTTTGTCCAAAAGCTAAAAACCAACAACAATGACAACAAAAGGAAAAGAAAAAACATTGTCATCAAAGCATTTAACCAGCTGAAATGTACACTCTACAAATGACACAGGGATGAGATTGTTGGTGCCTCATGTCAGTACTTGCCTTTTATTTATTTTCAAACTTGAAAACACTCAAGAGGATATGGTTAATTAGAAACTGGATTCTGAGTTAAACTTAGATCCAGCTCCTCTGGGCTTCATAACATTTAACACGAAGGACTGAGAAAGGAATGGACTCTGCCACAGGGTTGAATTTGACCTTTAACAAACAGACTCACTGAAGGAGTTCACAGTGAAGATGAAAGGGCTTTGAGGGGTGGATATCTTTCAATTAGTAATGAAGCCATTGATTGGCCTCTTAACCCTGTGGTGTCATGCCGGGTTTGTCAAATCTTTTTTCTTCTTTTGTGTGTCACCCTGTGTCTGCAAACTTGGCAGGGAAAGGCTGTTGGAGTTGAGGCTGAGGTTGTCCAAGGATCAGTGTCCATCAAGCATCTTACACAGGTATTCATTCTTAAAAGTTAGAGGAAGCAAACAGCAGGTTATCCACAGCTAACAGCTGCTAAAATTTATCAGTCACTGTGCAATATATTGATTGTAAATTTGTGTTAAGTTTAACTAAGGAGCCAATGTTTTTATTGATTCTTACTGGGGTAAAGGGTTCTCAGTGAATTCACTTTGAACTGTTTCCCATTTTCTCACTGAAATATTCTTTGGACCATCCACAGCACTTCCTGGGAGAGACTGCTGTCACTCTACCTCAAGTATATCACCACGATTCTTTGGCACAGGGTGACTTTGAGCCAATCCTTCGTGTTTGTTTGCTGGATCCCAGCTTTCCTGCATTTGTGGAGAAGGTGGAGGGGGAGCTGCGGAAATTGCTTCAAGAGTGAAGACTTAACAACAGCTGAAGGCAGATAGGTCGAGTCAGTGCAATGGGTTTTTTCTTATACAGTTTGTGTAGGCAGTACCTGGTGGTGGTTTCTTGCTGTGCTGCCGATGATGAAATGTTGTTACATATTAGTTGTTATGGTATATGGCCCAAAGAGGATGTTTTCAGTTGCATCGAATTTAGGTGTTCAGAGGAAGAATTTGCAAAACAAACAAAAAAAAAATCTAGATTCATTTTTTAACGTTTTATTCAGAAAAAAAGTATTGGTCTCACTCATGTTTGATCGTGGCTATATACTCTGGTCCCTCTGTTCCCACCTTAATGCAGGTCCATTCCCACCGCAACACACATGGATACATTGTATTGAAAGAGGAGTCATGCAGCTACAGCAGTGAATTTTGCTATGCCAGCTTCCAAGTGATCCCACAATATTAAAGCTTCACTGAGTAAAACAAACTGCCCTCCATATATCTATTTAAGAATACATATTGCATAGGATTATAGCCATGCTATACAGTTAAAGAGAAAAAAATAAAAAATAAAAATCAATTCATGAAATTGGGAAATATAAAAAAAATATTTTTTTACAGATTTCCTATCATTTGAACACTCATACTTCAACATATACAAGACACCTAAGTTACTCTGGAAATAAAGTAAAAATAATACACATTATCATTTTAGTTTAGATAGTTAAACACACAGTAGTCATTTTCTGTAATCACTCTCAATTAAAGTTAAATACTGCCAGTCATTGAAGCCCTTGCTTCACAATAAAAGATCTGTTAAAATAGGACTTCTTGTCACAAACTCAAACAGTTAAATGACAATGATATGCTGTACAAATCTTTAAGAATAAAGCAAACTATATGTGTATATATATATATATATATATATGTGTGTGTATATATATATATTTATATATATATATATATATGTATGTTAAGGATGACTCCATAAAAAACATAGGTCATTTTCGATGCAAAAAAGCCACACGAGGGATAACAACAGAAAATGTCTATTCTGAGTATCCTATTGCGTAATTATCTTGCATGCATTGTACATGATATGTAATACAAAAGGGATCACCTCATTTGAGGACATGATAAAATTAATAAAGGAGACATCAACAGCACATTAAAAATGTGTACACCTTTGTGGTGGTTTTCGTCATTATTCGTCATCCTGCAAACTCCATGTAAGACTGAATAAGGCATGCTTAAGACAGCCATTATGTTCTTTTTGTTGCCAGTGTTATGCTGATATTGTTTCTCATAAAATGAGACAAGATATGCTTTTTTGAAAACTGCCCGGATCTCTATCCACCGCTGACACCTTCATGTTGTCAAAAAATGCAGTTTAGCCATCTCACCTGTGAAGAGAAAATCAAGAGAAGGTATAACTATGGCTAATCCTCACATTGAGTTCTATATCCAGCCCCATCCTCTACAACAGTGTCTTACTTGAGTAAATTGCTTATTTTGTATTCCTCTGGCGAATGTTTTTGTCCTTGTGGTTGTTCGTTGAATTTGTTTTCCTAGAAAAGAAGCAGTTGCGATTTAGTAACCTGAAGGTAATAGCAATTCAAATTACAGTACCAATATGAGTTATATGTATAGCAAGAAGAATACTTATTTACTTACATTGGTCCAACTGGTTCATCATCTATGACATGAGGATGAGAATTGGACAAAAACAGAACAAAGTCAAATATGAGATAAAGATAAAAGGAAAAAACGTGTTGTATGTTTCAGTACATTTTCAGTTTTCACAGTTATCCCTTTTTTCCCAGGCAGCTATTAGTTTACCATGACTTCACTATGGTATGGAAATCTATTTTCAGAAACTTGAAATTTGTTAGAGATCAGTTACCAAATCCTTCAAACAGTAAACATTAATACTGTGTGATAAAGCAGCTGAAAGCACAGATTTCTTTGAAATATTGTAATACTGGTGTAGCAGAGTCATGCACTGGTGGGAGGCTCTGACATCAGAGACATGGGAGTCAGCTGCCGAACAGCTTTGTATGCAAGAGCTCTGTGTCTTGTAAACAGACTCAGAAGGAAAATACTAAGCACAAACAGGAGTGTAACTTTAGTAGCGTTTTACATTAAAGAAGGTTTCTGGACACTACAGGCTGCTTGGGAGGTGGCAAAAACTCATTCAGAAAGAAGATATATAAGTGTATGCTTTAAATGGTCAGCAGTGACATATTTGTAGTAGAAGGGCTTCAGTGTGGAAAAAACTCTTATGATCTTGTAAACAACCACAGCTTTAACGCCAAGCATTCTTAATTTAACCTCACATGCCATCTGAATCTCAAGGGGTTCCAGTTCATTTCAGACTGAGCATATGTGTAGGAGAGTTACAGATGGCTCACTTAAAGCCATCTTTTAATTACACTAAGAAATGTCATAGTGATTTTGAAAATGCCGAGTACATGGTTGTGATATTATAACTGACTTGGCATAAAAACATGGATCTATTCAAAGATTTCTCTCAGCATCTAGAGGTGTATCAATTCCCTGCAGTGCACGGTGGTAAATATCTCTATGCAGTGCAAATTTCATTCAGATTTTTGACACATAAAACATTTTTAAGTAATAATTTTCTCAGTACTGCAAACATATACATAGATATCCTTTTCTCACATACAGCAGTGCAATAAATGACATATAGTACACTGTCACAGTAAGAAACACTGCAGGAAGAGGAACTGGTGAATAATAGTGAATATTGTGGCACCGAGTGACAAGTTAGTTCGAAAACCCACAGCCTCTGGGTTGACAAGGTGGTTGGTGTTTGGCATACAGATGACAATGTGTCAACAGGTAAGTAACCAGTCACAGTGAGATATTTTCCATGCAGTTATAAGTCTGAGATAAGCAGCATTAGCAGCATTCCATGGCATTAATATGGAGCAGGTTATGGCAGTTATAATGTTAGACAAAAAACATGGTTCTGTGATCTTTTGGAGGAGGAACATCTGTTGGCATATCCCACCCTTTTCACATGTCATATGTGAAAACCACAAAAGCTATGTTTAATATACATAACAAATAACAAATTTTTACTGTGTGAGATTGATAGTTGAATAATAATTACTGTAGTGACCAATATTGTATCTTTTGTAGTTCGTTTTTTGTGTGACTTCAAAAGTGGGTGCACGTTTTTTAGCTTAAATAGAGCTGTTAGTAAGCAAATCATCACACAGCAAAATCTGTAATTTTAGCAACTGGTTTTGAAACACAGGATAGAAATGTCAGCCTCTGCCTCAGAGCCCTTGGCTGCGGAGTATAAAAGTGTTCAAACACAGCTAAGCCATCAGGAGACTAGAATTCATAATGCACGCAGACAGGGGCCAAAACCTCCGGGAATACGGGATGCTAAAAGGAGATTTTAGAGAGGCAGTGCATCGTGAGCAGGGAGTCCTCATTCCTGATTTGAATGGCATAAACATGGCAAATATAATCCACCTTAATCTCTTCATTTTTCCGGTAGATGAAACCAAACTAGAGGCCATGCACAAAGCTTACTTGAGCTGCGTGTTTTGTGTATGTGTGTGCGTGCATGTATTTTGAGCAAGCAGTGCACTAGAGCATTTTTTGTTTTTTTTTTTGTTTTTTTTAAATTATCAAGTAATTAACTATTTTAACAGATCACAAACAAATACTGTTATATATTATCCTATATATCTAAAAGATATGCTTAACTAAGTGAGTTAGAATTTACATATGCCATTATACATTAGCGCTAGATATAGATGACAGATTATTATAGATGTGGTTAACCACCATGGTGTCTCATTTGTCTGGTAAAGAAATTAATTCTATATAAAATATTGGTTAGTAATTAATAACCTTTAAGAAATTAGTTCTAGTTGCTATTATAAACTGATATCTACAGTACTTTGTTAAAGATTATACTCATTAAATGGTTAATAAGTGAAATATCAGTAAACACTATTTTGGACCCCATTAAATGACTGATTCAAATTCAGCATGTCACCCTAACCCTTGCTGAAGAACAGCTAAAGTGTAGCCTATATGATGAGTAAATAGGAAGAAAATGGCAGAGAGAAGAAACATGAGATCTGAAGAAGATCTTTCAGAGATTTAAGTCTAAAACAGATTTATCTATTTAATATTCCTTATACATTTGACTGAGTAAATCTTATTTTGTTTGGGCTATGTAAATGAAAAGCAGGATTGACAATGAAGCTTTATTTGTGTAGTCTGTATTAGATTGTGGCATACAACTGTTGCCCAGCTGGCATGATTCATATTAAGGGGGCGAATGTTATGGTTCTGTATTTTTGCTTGTGTTCATGTTTCATTCCAAAATGAAAAGAAGGCAGAGCCACATGAGTAGAAGTCAGTCAGAACCTTTGGTGCCTTTGGGCCTTCTGGACATTTCTCATCTCGTCACATTCTTATCATGTGATTTTTGTCTTCCTCCTGAAGCACAGGTCACTTCTTTCATCAAATGGAAAAAATCAACTTGCATAGAGGGTACTAGATTTGACAAAACTAAAGTTAAATTAACATTTAAAATAAATGTATACATTTCTTTCATGTTTGACAAGATGAACAAAGGAATGAGTAAATGGATACAGAATTTGAGGAATGAATCCTCCTGTAGTAATTTCTCTTTAATAATTATTCTGTTTTCTCATTCTTGTGTTTGTTTTTGCATTTCTTTGTCCACATTAGATGTGGTTTTGATATTTAGGCATAATGGTCGGTCCAAGGCTGCAGATACTTCAGTGTAACCTCAATTGGCTACCAGAGTAGGAGCCCTGGAAGGTTTTTGTTGCTCTTACTTACTACAATTGTACTGTTCTGAATAGAGTACATTGCTTTTTATTCTGTATAGTGGATTAAAAAATGAGGGTCAACCAGTAAGTCAGACATTTAATTATTCATAACAGTAGTTGTTCTTGCTAAATCGAGCAACTACCAGTGTGTTACAGATTTGGCTTGTTAGTGAAAAAAAGCGTCATGGGTGGTTTAAAGCATTAATGTTGCTCGGTTAGATGGGTCTACCCGCCCATCTACAGCATGTTTGTTTGAGTTAGTCAGTGTCCAGTAAGCTCAGTTTGTTTGAGGCGCTAACATGGAGTTCTTGAAAATGTCTTAGGGAGTCATCACAATGAGCAATGAGTACATCAAGCAATGCTCAAAAGAATGTTCTGGCCAATGCAGGCAGCACAGTAACGTCTTTCATCACAGTGCCATGGCCATGCTAAAGTTGTCATGAAAAGAACACAGTACCATTACTGTTTGAGCAGAGTAAAAAAGTTCCATTGACTGTTTCTAGCTGCAGACTGAATTTACAAATGTAGTCTGGGGTTGATAACTATGCATAGATATCACAGATACCACATTCTACTTATTTTCTGATTTATCTATAGACCTTACTTTATACTTAATGAATTTGAAGGTGCTAACATTTTGTTTTAAATTCTATATCAGCAAACCGATGACGCAGGGGCCACAAATAATTGTAAAATTGAATCAAAGCATGTTGTTGATTTGGATTTTAATGTGTAAAAGTACAATTGAATACTAGGAAATGCCCAAGCCTAAAGGTTTGATCTGGTTTGGGCTTTAAATTGTTGGGTTTTTTTCTCCACTTCTTTCACTTACAACATTGGCTTTGTTGGTGACATTAGGACTGCTAACATACTTGTACAGGCCTTTTTTTATTATTATTTCAAATTAGTCGAGAAACACATGCTTATTTATTTTATGAATTCAAACTCAAAAAAAAACAACTTATCTAAAGTTGTCGTAATAGTTGTAGTTGATAATGTATGGTTAAAAATTGGGCTGATTTGGCTTTGAATGTGACTAAAGATTGTGGTTCCTCAGAAAATGTACGAAATTTAATCCAACATACATCCAAACATCTGACTATCACCTGTGGAAATGCAACACTTTATGGGTTTGACCTAATGGAAATGGAAATGAATGGAGACATTAAATTTATCATAACTGACAGTAAATAAAAAATAAACAATTGTATTAAAATCTCAGCAATATCGAGGCAAAGGTCGTAATGTTTTTGGATGGACTGTAGGCTCGTAAAAACATACAAACTGACAGAAAGAAAAAAAAATCTCTTAAAACCATGCAGGATCTCTCACTTACCACCCATTTAGATTATGTTGCCATTTGGAAAGAAGGGGGGAGGGGAAAAGAATAGTAACCAATTAAGTTATATATATTGGGACTGGTGTGATTTCTAGCTACAGGCTGATAACCCCACGTTTATGAACTCTGTCATTCTATCAACATGGAAACATGCTGTTTCCATTGCTATGAGTACAGCACAGAAATAGCCAACTGTTGGAAAGGTTAGCTGTGGGCCCCCTGCTGTTGTTCACCTAATGTGGATCTATAAATGTCACATATTTCCATACATCTAATATGTGGCATATATGTGCCAATTTCCTTCCTCTCTCTTTCATCACACCAGTCAAGAGGCGAGGAGACAAGTCCTTTGATAGTCAGTTGGCCACTACAGACCTCTAATGCAACCTGATGGATGAAAATCTTACTTGCATCTGTAAACATGCCTGAGGCTTAAGCTCTGACACCATCGTCTGTAGATGACATTTGACCTTACAGTCATTGGCCTTTTGGGTTATTTCTGTACTTGCTTAATTTTCTTATCTGACACTTTAAAGCAAACACATACTGATTTATCATCATTAAGACTTTACTTCTTACAGCAAGTGTCAGGGCAGTATGTACATTAATGTATTCGTAAAATATTGCATATTGCAATATTGCTACTATGGCAAAAAAACTCTTGAGTGTCTCAAGGTTTTGAATTGTTATGTTGTAATTTGAACATAAATAATGTCATATCTATTTTCATAGTTTATTATTTAGTGTTTGCTGCTAGTGACGGAGTAAAAGTTGTCTTACCATCAATAATGTCGTCTGGCCTCTTGCGTTTCTCGTACACAACGATGATGACTACTAGGATTATAATCTCTGCAAGTACACCCAGGAAAGGCCAAAGTGGCGCAAGATGGCTGCGCACCCGTAGTATAGTGGTCTCAGCAGTGTTTCCAATCACGTTAGTGGCATTGCATTCATATATTCCAGGATCTGTAGTTATATCCAGGTTTAATATGTTCAGCTCTGTGTAGTTGTCTCTGTTAGTGATGAAGAAGCGTCCGGTAGAGTTGTCAATGTCCTGGAAAACAAAGACCATTTCTCAGAGTTATTTACATTAAAAACATGCTAAAAATGCTTGATTTGGAGTAGATATATAGCATGCCCTCTATTGTGTCTATCCACACACACACACACATATAAAACATACTGTACATGTACCGTGTAGGATGTTCCGTCCACTTTACGCCATGTCCAGGTGGGATGTGGGTAACCAACAGACTTACAGTACATCATTGCATTTTCCCCCTCGTTCTTATTTTCACTTCTCTTGTGGCCAGTGATATCAGGTTTTGCTGAGAAGGTAAAATAAATAAATAAAAATGATAATTAGCTGAGTTGGCAGAAGTAAAACATTCAAAGGAACGTTTTAACTCGTACCAGATGGCATGAATAAGGGAAGCATGATTGGCTGTTCTGTCTACGGTAATAATTTGAGTTATTCAGATGTCTATATAAGAGAGAGGAGTCTCTATAGCAGGGTGGATTCACTGAAGCAGCTCAGTCTCTTTTGAAATTATCATAACTGTTGCAGACAAGAAGAAGCTTAGTGGGCTCTTTTAAGATATGTTTTAATCATATAAATCGCATTGCACCATTAACTTAAGTCACATTATTTTATCATTCAGTATCTCACACAGATGTTACAGAATTTGTGTGTGTGTGTGTGTGTGTGTGTGCCATGTTTTCCACATTTCCAGGCTATCCTCTATCCTTTTCCACTTGACTCCACAAACTACTCATAGGGTTATTTTTTATCATTCTGTCTAAAAAGGCTCAAACATACTATAAAGGTATTCATCTCATAGTGGGTGTCAAACATTTTAACATGTAGCATAAATTATTTAGTTAGCTCTTAAAGGCTACAGCTCCCATTAGTCTTTGGCATAGGCGTTATGGGGGCTGTAGTTGTTGAATGATTGCAAAGTAACCTTGTTATGAGAGGAATACCACTCTGGGATAGACAAAAGCATTTCAATACGATTCATAATGAGGTCATGGAAGAGGGGGATCAGTATGATATGAGAGCCTCCAGATGTTCCCATTCAAAATAATTCCACAATGAATTCCACAGGAGAGATTTTGAGCCAAAGGAAAACAGTGTAAACTGGCTCTTATTAATGAAATAACTGATAATAAAAATGCAACACAAAGGTTATGAATTTAATAAATTCAGGCATATGTTATAAAGCACTGCAACAGATGCCAAGACAAACTGATCTAGCAATAAGAACAGAGTCTTTCTCAAAGGTGAGACACAGATTCTCTATTTAACTATGCACACCATCAGGAAGATAACAGTTCCTGCTTTTCCGCTAATCCTCAAAATTACAATAATTCCTTCCATGCAATTAAGCAGGATAAGGGAGAGGCCTGGAGTGAGCATTTTTCAGTAGTGCATGGATAATAGAGCAGGAGGGGTCTGAGCTCTTTGGTGACATCACCCCACTCTAATTATGGTGCACACGTGCTCCCTGAGCAGGGGAGTGGCCAAGCTCATTTGTGCCTTATCCTGACTGTATTATGTCAGTGACTGACAGCAGAGAGACAGCGCTCAGAGAGGCGCAAACACGGGCAGAAACCTCTATTTCACACTCCTGACTGCGATTACTGCGATTATTAATCTGCATGTGCCAGACAGTGGTAAAGTGACGTATGAATGTGAGAGGGATGTGTGAAGAGAAGCAAGTTCATGGCTGTCAGAAAGAGGAAGATGACATTAACATGTTAAAGAGCCATTAAATCAAATCCTTCATCAGCTGCTTTCCATATTTTATGTAGCTACATGTAGCTTTAAGTAGCTAGACGTTGTGATTTTTGGCAATTTAAGTGTAAAATTGTATAATCTCGAAGAGTCAAATGTATTTCTTTAGGATACTGTGAAATTATTAGTACGCATGTTAAATCATTTCCATAGAGAAGTGTGCGAAAAATTGAGTAAAACTGGAGAAATATGAGGGACCAAATATGTATCTGTGGTAAGCTTAGTATCACAGACAATAAACTCCACTCCCGCCACCGAGATGGCTGGGACAGGATTCAGAGCCTTAATCCTACAACATCACAGAACCCTCCATCTGTTGCCTCTGAGCTGAGTCCTGCAAGGATGAGTGTGCCAAGGACACTGTAGGCGAGGGATCTCAGTGAACTGCTGCCAGAAGCACGATGCAAAGCTGGCTAGCATAACAGTGGGTTTGCTACCTGGGTCACAAAAGATCTCAAACACCTCTATAAAATCACAAGAACATTTAAAAACTGAAGAAAAATGCTTTGTTTAGACCCAGCACTGGTTCCTACTCTCAATGTCAAAACATTATTTTTTTAATAATCTTTAGACATGGTCTATAGGCCTATTTAAAGGACAAAATCATGCATCATCAGTTTAGTTAAAGCACTGACTCTTTTCTCCAGGGGACAGATAGCAAGCCTCAACAATCACAGGCCTGCAGTCTAGTGAAGGCTCGGACACTTCAGTTTGAATGGCGATGAGTCCCGTCATCTCACAACCCAGTGAAAGCAGGACACACACGGTCATCACCCATGTTACGCAATCAGGCAGCGCTTGAAGACAGCCACAGAATAAGAGGCAGGGCATGCTCAGTATGCACCATAGCCATGCCACGGCAAATTGGCTTAAGCACTACACACAACCAAGATTCCCTTGAACAGGGTTTCACTTGCCCTTTCTCAGAGAGGATTCCTAATTCAAGTTGATGGCTTCGCTGTCAGCTTGAATGAAACCAACACAGTAGTTTAGCTTTGATTAGCTTTGCCAGCTATTACATAGACTGTAGTTAACTTTGTCTGTTGTATTAGCTCTCTGATATTGAAACCAACAAAAAAAAGTAATTAACAGATGTTAAACCATTCTGCTCTTAAAAGAGAATATCTACTCTGAAGGATGCCTCCTCGTGGGCCTAGTGTTTGCATGTTTTGGTGAGCATGTGCTGTGCCTGTCCACTTTGCTAGACTGTCCTCTCAGTGAAAGCCAAGAGTGACAACAGCCTCAGGAATGCTCCCTGTCACTGAGACTGCACTGCATGAATTCAAACATCTTTGTCAACACAATCTCTCTTTACACAGCTTTAGGTGGTTAACTTTTCTAGGACACCTTTATCTCTCCATCTCTCAGCAGAAACCCACAGAAAAAATCATCACGTCATCATGTGGTGAGCTATTTCAGAATTTGAGTACACGATAGAGGACTTTTTTTTTTTTAAGCAATATTTTTGATATTCATGTTACAGAGGTTTAGTTGTCACAGAGGAATCTTACCTTTTACTTCAATTGTTGCGTTTGCATTTGGTGCCATGTCAAATGTGTAAACACACATGTATTCCCCAGAATCATCTGCCCTTGGTTTAGTGATTCTGCAAAAACATACAGCACACCAACTTATTTCATCATTTGAATTTACCAGTCACTTTATTACAAGTAATCAAGTAAATAAAGTCAACTAATTCCAGTTAAACTCTAGTAATTAGTTTGGACTACAGTAGTGAAAGCTTGAGGGGCCTCCAAGGCCATCGGAGACAACATGTTGGCATTATGCTGTTATATTACGGAACAGCAGCTCTGTATTCTGCAGGAAAGGGCACCACGGGCATTTTAGCTGTAATCTTCAGAGTATCACTGATGTAATGTGACAAGGAAGTGACCAATTGGTCTTATCTTGTGGCTAGGGAGAGTCTGTGGTAAGTCTACGGGGGCGACAGAAGCTTTGTGCTCCAATGGTTACATTGTGTGACAGCAGGAACTAACAACTAGTTGGTTCCTTAGGCTATAATAGAGTTTTTCTAGTTAGATGCATAGGTATAGTTAAACATTTGGTTTAAGGCAGTAATATGCTACATAATGTTGAGAGAGTCTGAGGGTATCATATTTGGCAGGGTTATTCACAGTCTCTGGCTTTTGACTATTCTTGACTATTTCAATATATTGCAGATTAAGGCAAAAATAAACAATGAACCATACACTTCAAATTCTGAATTACAATGTACTGACATTTTGTAGCAGCTTGCTAGTAAACCTAGCAGCATAATGCAGTGAAATGTGCTGTAAAATGGAAGTGCAATGTTGCACCATGTCATTTGTTTAGCCATCAATAGCACACTGTCAGCCACAAGATCAAGGTGCTATAAGTACCTGCAATCAAGACACTTTTTCATAAAGAACACAACTCAATAGCAAAGCATTTTTTCTGGTAAAATGTATTTAAATATATGTATTAATTGCCTCAGTAACTTCTTGAGCAAACAATCAAGCTTTGATGAGTTGTTATCTCCATGTCTGTAGGAAATGCACAAACCATACACACTAACTGCTCATTACAGAATAGAAAATGTCTGCAACTCTAGGGTCTGACCCATTTACAAGCAAGCACCAACAGTTAGTTAGCCAAGCAGAAAAGCAAACCTGAGTTACTCCCATTTTAAACTTAGAGCCAATCAGTGCACTGTCTTCGTCTCAGCAAGCTCTTCTTCTCCAGCATTTCCTGACAAGTATCTCTCCTGACTTCCACTGTTGACCGAGACATGACTATGCAAGATTATCTCAGCGTTGTTTTGTTTTGTTTTTTTTTGCTTGCATAGCCATTTTCATTTAACAGTAAAAAAATTTTCAGATAAATTCTCATTCACTTTCCATTGCTGGGAGCACTTACTGTCTGCATTATCTCACTTCCTACACAGAGGCAAGGCTGTTTGTCACCTGTATACTGTGTTCCTCTGCTCTGTCCTTGTATTGCTGATCTCCTTTCCATTCTTCATCCAGAAGCTTTCCTGGTAAGGAGTGTGGGCAGTGGTGAGGTTACACTGCAGGGTAACTGGTTTGCTAGAGGAGTCCGCTGACAGGATGGTCTGATCAGAGGCACTGATCTTTGGTTCTGAAAGACAGAGACAGTCAAACCTTATCACAGAACTGGGGCTCAATGCTGGTTTAATGCTTCCTCCCATGCTGTAGTAGCTGTAGGCTGTATGCTGTTTTTATACGATCTGTGTAGGAGGGTGTCTATGAAGTAAAGACAAGAGTGCACACAACAAATAAACATAATACATCATAAGTATATGAAACAGCTGGAATGTCTTGTGTCAACCATTAATCTTTTGAGTAAAAATGTAATAAGTGAATATTATTTTTGGTTGATGTTGAGCATGTGAATGCTAAATTTGTCTCATGACCTACAGTAATACACATTAATGACACATGACAAGTGTATAAGAGGAGCTGTTTGCATAACATCTCTGATAACTTCTCTGATATTAAAAGATGCATCAAATATTAATTTGATTGGTTATACCTATTTCACACCTATCTCTTGGTCACAGCACTGCATTCATAAATGACTTTCTGAACCCTCTTAATGTGCTGTACAGTCATGCAGACTCCTGGAGGATATTTGACAGATAGAAGATACACAGTAGCTGATAACGGCACTAATTTTTATGTTCCATCGTAATAAGAGGAAACTGGATGGGTTCTTAAATATGCCTTACCCTAAGCTTGCATGTAAATGTCATCAGAATATAGTGGAGAGGTAAAATGTGCCATGTGCTTGGAGATCTGGGCTAAAGACTAATAAACTGAACAGTCATTTGACATTTTTACATTACTGCTGAATGACTACTTGAATTACTTCAGCTTCTAAACTGCTAAGCACACTGGTTACTAAACAATACCAGGGTCCATTTCTCAAGGACGTTGAGGGAAGCAGGAGGTGTCATCTGAGAGCGAGGTGCCCTTTGCTCTGCCTTGAGTAGTGAGCAGGAAGCCTCCTCCGCCCTGCCCCTCCTCCTCCTCCTCCTCCTCCTCCTCCTCCAGGGCGGGCCAACCATGGCAACGATGGAGCCCCCGAGGGGAGGAGCAGAGAGGAGAAGCATCATAATCCTACTACTGGCTGCTGCTGCTGCAAGGCCACTAGCAAGGCAAAAGGGAGGAGAGGGGGGAAAGAAGGGCTACTGAGACTGGCGAGTGACTTCTATTAGCATTCATGGCACCTTCTTCCTGCTATTCTGTATACTCAATAGCTAAGGGGATATCTCTCCCCTCCCCCCCTTACATCTCTCTCTCCCCCACCAAGCAGAACCACATGTACTATTAATAGTATCTTTGAGACATGCGAACACACACAACATGAGGTACATAAATTAACATTTAGCAAACACGGCACAGTGGTCCACAGGCAGTTTAACCAAAAGGTTGTTTGTAGGACACCTTGTCACAACTTAAAATGTGGTAACTACTGGATAATGCATCACCATATCAGGATGTAATGAAATATAAAAAGCTGCTCTAAATGAGTCAAGATGTAGGGAAACCTGATTCCCCCCTTTCCTCTTGCTGGTACTCTAATACAGTGCTGCATTTTGATTAATACTTTATCCAATTAACTGACAAATATTACGTAATGAGGGATGTTATTTTTCTTTTAATTATTGCATTATCAGTACAAATGTGTTTTCTTTTTTACATCATCTGTTACATTTTGCCAAGATGTATGAAATCAATTACACAAAACAGCTGAGGCATAGTAACCAACTTGGCAAGGTCTATATTTAGGGGAGCATTATGTCATTGTAAAAGGCAAAGCAGGGCTCAATTTGTAGCATATTACAATAGAAGAGGTGTACTCCAGAGATAGGTGCCAGTAACTGTGCTGGCACAGGGACAACAGTGGGCCTCATGAGCACGTGGTTGGGCTAAATGGTTTGAGCCAGTCATTCTTAATAAGAATATGCAATACATTTCAATACATGTCTGATTTCAAACAACACACATTTGTGTTACTTTGCAATACATAACAGTAGAAATTCACATACCATTATGAGGGTTTTAAAAAGCAAAGTCTCACAAACGTGCATACTACAAAACAGCTGCTTGGCTTTTAAATGTACAGTATATCTGTACTCAAAATCCACTGAGATCTGTGTAATTAGTGAAAGTGATACTACATGCAAAGGTTACGTGTATGTATTTGAGTATGAGACACTCATCACTTGAAAAGTGGCTGAAAATTTTTTTGGGTTTGCTTTTTCACAAAGACACCAGCTGTGTTTAGCTTGAATTCATGTGGGCCATGAGGAATTCCAAAGGTGAAAAGTTTTCCACCCTGAAATCAAAAGACAACTGAGAATTATCCACACAAACACTCAAGCCATTCCTGCACCACAATCCACTTTTAGCATTCACTTCTCTGGCCATTTGTATCTTGAGTTATGTTCCAAACAGCCATTTTACCAAAACATGGCTAAACAGACATCCATGGGAATGTCACGAGATTCAAGAAGGGTGTAGAAATGGATGTACGACACAGAAGCCGTGTATTTAACCATATTTTGGTGTAACAATCAACAGTGATGGAGGAGTGAATGGAGAACTCTCTACAGACATCCATGCTTTTTTTTTCTGGCATGAAAACTTGTCACCATTGGAATCAATCATAACTGGCATAAATTAAAGCTGATGACAGCTGATGTTCTTTGTTAAAGCAATAGTACAACATTTTGAGAAATATGCTTATTTGTTTTTTTTCATGGAGTTGGATTAGAAGATCAATACCACTCTTATGTCTGTAAATATTAAGTTACAGCCAGTGGCCTCTCATCCTTGGTTAGCATAAAGACCGGAATCAAGGGAAAACAACTAGCCTGGCTTTAGGCAATCACTGCTCCCGGTCAAGAATAAAACCACAAAGTGCCATTTTTGCACTTCGGTTTTCGTATGGATTACTGGGCTGTAAATGTGCTGCTTTACTTTTTACCTTTGGACAGAGGTAGGCTAGCAGCCATTTCCGAAATGTATGCTAAACTAAGCTAAACAGCTATTAGCTGTAACTTATCTTTACCATTTAGACCAGTGAGTGGTATCACTGTTGTCATAAAAAAAAAAAACAACAAACAAATAAGTGTATTTACAAAATGTCAAACTATTCATTTCACTTTTTTTGAGAGTTCCATACTCAAAAGACAGATTAAGTACACATATTTTAAGTACACATAAAAAGCATACATTCAAAAGAGGTATCGACAGTAGATTTTGTCCATGCATGCATGCATGAGGTTTTTTTTTTTGTTGTTGTTGTTGTTTTTGGAAAATTCAACATTAAAATTGCATTTAATCAAAATCCAAATTCCAAATAGAATAGCAATTAAAGAGCTTTGTAATGGGAATGAAATACTGTATATACATATATACATATACTGATTTGGGGAATACTGATTTAGAGCGATTCACATTCACAAACTAAATTAAGCAAAACTAGGAGGCCAAAACAAGACAATCAGACTTCAGCATGTTTCCTCAGCTACAAACTATACATTCATATCAAGTGGCTATTATGTATAGCCTGTTATATACATGTAATAACTTGGATATTACATGTATATGCAAAGAACATTTACTCCTCAGTAATGACAGAATATATGTAGTTATGATTTGAATTGCAGGTTTGGGGGAACATGGGGAACAACTAAATGAAACAAGTGAACAGCTGCTGTCTATTGCACTTCTTATAAGAGTTGAAATTTCATCAACCTGACACCTAATCCAATAGTGCTCACCAGAAGTCAAAATTTGTCAGTCCAATCAGAAGAGCCAGCAAAAATCAGACTCCTCTAAGCTTCTCAGAGAGCTTCACTATGACTAACAACATTCCACATCTCCCTGTGCTCCAGTGGGCAAAGCGCTGAAGCATACACAGATTAGAAGAGTCCAGTTGAAATTCAGTTTGTTTGAATGTTAGTATGCATAGAGCAGAGGGGTTAAAGGATATAATGTCATTACTGATTCACAGTCACACGCTTAATGGCTGAGAAGGCACAAGGTTACACATTGCACAGGCAAGTCCAGAGAGACTTTTGTAGAGGTGAAATCTCTGTCTCGAAGGCCCTCGCGTGGTCATATCCTTTATTTGGATTACCACACACAAATTTGAAAGCAGAAAATGTTTGCTTTTATCAGGAAACAGCTGACAGCAGGAATCACTCTTTTACGCCTTAACGGATCCCTCCTTGTGTCTTCTTACAGTCCCATTTACACTGCGCCCAGAGTGAGAAAGCCAAATCAAAAGCACCATTACTTCAAAGCGCCACTAGGTTTCCGCTGCATTTAGCAGGCAGGGCTTTGAAGTAAATAAAACAATCCACGTAACGCAAAGGACACAACATAATGTTGAGGGAGTAAGTATCACAAATAAATCCAGGAATAGGGAATGGATCAAATTAGGATATAGAGAAAAAGTTAATGATCAGAATATTGCAAAAGGACACATGAGACAGTAAGAACAAAGGTCTGGTGTAGGAGGAAAGAGGGAAATGTAGATAGAGACTGGGTAAAGTTCCTCGGTTTGTGGTCATTTACAACAAGATGCTCAAGGGATTTTGGGAGAGACAGGGGGTTTACTGACTTCAGTGGAAGAGAACATAAATTCTTTCCAAACCAAATAAGGAACAAAATGTAATATTAATGAAAACCAAACAGGAAAAAGCAACCACTGGCATAAGGGATTTAGACGATTAGAATTTTTTTTTCTATTTTTACTACTATAAAAAGAAACTTAAAAAAGGAACATGAATAAATAACGTTGTTTGTTTTATTTTTGCCTGGCCAGTGACCACTGTGGTGAGGGTGAGCTCTTGAGAGGTTTTTACGGGTTGGAGTGGTTGGGACAGGGGTAGTTCGTTCACCATCTAGGTACTACGGGACATAGACCACTCACTCTGTAGCACCGAAATGGTGGCCTGGGCACGGATCCAGGTGATGGCTGGGTTTTGTCGGAGGTCATTGCGCCTGGGGTCGTTGCTGGCCCGGCACTCATAGGTCCCAGAGTCCTCCAGTGTGAGGCGCGTGATGCCGAGCACACTGACCCCATTGGTGCCGTAGGCCGTGTTGATAGATACCCGACGCTTGCGGGCTCCGTCCCACAGCTGCTTGAAGGAGTCGGCCCGGTTGATCTCAGCATACCACCACTGGATCTCTGGAGTGGGGTTACCAACCACGTCGCAGTACAGCTCAAAGGTGTCCCCCGTAAGCTTAGTCTCAGACATGGGCGACTTCACAAACCCAGCTGGAGAGGAAAAGCGCATCGGGGTGGCAGGAAGGAAAGGGCAGAAGAGGGTTAGAGAAATAGGAAGATGTGGAAAGGTCAAGGGATGGAGAAGGAAACAAATTTAAACAAAAGAGAGGATGATTAAAGCCAAAGGAAAAAGAAGCAAGCTTAAAATCATTGATAGGTGAAAAAGAAAAGATTGATGATTGTCTAACACCAGTCCGTTCAACGTCAAGGTTCCCTGGCCCACTGAGGCCTACAACTGTCAAACAAAGTCATAGTCAACCAGTCTTAAGTCTGTACCAGCAAATCATGCTAGTATCTTGTGTATTTTCTTTTTCTTTTATCTCTTTCTTTCTCACATGTAATCTTACAATGGTTAGTGTACCAGGATTTTTAAGGAATAAACTTTCATGTTATTATGCTTGAACAAACAGTGTAAACATTAGTACAGTACAGTGAATGCAGTACATATAAATCTTAAAATTGAACAAAACACTTACAATATATAGACAGTGAAGGAGAGAGCTATCGTAGCATCCTCACTGAGTTTGATCAGTCTCAGCCAGTTCCTTAAAGGTTTGTTTATCAGAGAGCCTTGTCAAGATGAGCAATCACCCAACCCTTTCCTACATTCACTGTGATGCAACAATCAGTGGCACCACTCTTACTTGACCCCATTGAAATGAAAAGTCCTCACGAATGTGCCACACATTTGTCAGTGCTGAAAAAGAAGACTACACAAAAAAATCATGGGACTCATCAAAATCAGCGGCTTAGAGATTTTCCCCTTGACCTTAAGTCTCATTGACACCACTCTATCAGAGGAATGAATGTTATTTAAGAGTTATTAAACCTGCTGAAATGGAAAGCTATGATAATGTGCGTCCTGGGTACAGCGAGCGTCTTCGGGCTTCTAAACTATCAGGTTATTACCTCCACCAGAGATGTTAGTAAGTGTTGTTAGTTAGAACAATGTCTCATCAATAAAATCTTGAAAGTTAGGTCAAGGGGAGTTTGTTTTTGGTTTGGAAAATCCCATAATGTGTCAGAAAGGTGTGCATATCAGGAATACTGATTCCCCCCACATCTCTTGAGAAAGTGCAGTGGAAATCTGTCGTTGAGTGTGATGGTATAAATAGTCTTGCTCCGGTCTGTTCGATTTTTTTGCAAATAAACTCGAAACTTCGAATCCACAAGTCACAGTTCCAGTCTCATCTATTACATCACCCCTTTGGGGCCAAGACAAGTACACCCTGGACATGCCGCCAGTCTGTCACAGGGCTAACACATCCAGATGGACAACCATATTTACACTCACATTCACACCTACGGGCAATTTACTGTCACCAGTTCATAATAATCTGCATGTCACGGGACTATGGGAGGAAACTGGGAGGAGTTCCTGAAGGAAACTCATGCAGACTCAGATTCAAACGCATTGCCTTCTTGCGTCACTGTTTTCTTGCAAATGATATTCTAGAATGCTAAATAATAATAATAATAATAATAATAATGATAATAATGATAATAATAATAATAATAATAGTAATAATAATAATAATACCTATTTTAAAACACAGAATGAAAATGCTCAGATCTATTTTAAAAGTCTGTATAGTTATTTGTCATTATAATATACTTGCACAAAAACTAATACATTTAAATAAAGCTGGAAATGCCCATTAAAAGCAATTCACAGAAATCATCACAAACAGACATAACTGTAAGTATATATGTATAAACCTGATCTCTTTTCGTCCATATCAGCTATTGCTGGTAACACCATAAATTAGGTCAACCAGCTTTCATTTTGGATAAGCTGGAATTTAAGAGCAGGTTTTCAAAACTCACATCTGGTCAGAGTGGAACAGGATAGTTCAACCAGCTTCTGCGTAAAACCCTGAATGAACTGACAGTTTGGAATCACACAGTTGATTTGGGCTTTTAAAGCAAAATTTGCTTCATATAAGTAACACATGGAAACTAAATATGCACCAATATCCCCAATACATCTCGTCAGTGGCATTTAAGGTTATGGAGTCAGACAGACAGCCCCCATTTTTTCTAACACTGCCGGACTACCTCACTTGCATGTGAAGCAGGAAATGCATTTAAAACATGAAACATAGTGGAATTCAAAATAAAATGGGATCCATAGGCATTATTATCACAACTGTAAGCGCACCATGCTGTGTCTGTGCCTGATTCATGACCCTGTTCCACATCAGTAGTTAGCCCAACAATACACTGCCAGCCTTAATGAACCTCATCTAATGACAAATCACCTGGACCACAGACACTGTTCTCTGCAGCCCCTGCAGCCTGTCAGCTGTAAACCACATGTGCTTAAATAAATCAGAAAAAATACACTGCCTTAACTCTGCCCTGAATTGTTGTAGAGGAAATGGGAACAAAGAGCCTGTGGTCTCTTGAGTGTTGTGTCTAACTACAACAGCTTACAGGGCCTCCCAGATCTGTCTGCCTTGCTCAAAGTAATGCATCATAGGCACATGAACAGATAAGCCTGTAGAAGCCAGAGGAAGGAGTGTCAGCAACTGCAGTATTCAGCTCACTCCCACAATGAAACCAGGTACATTTTATTTAAATAAGTTTATTGAAGGTTTAATTGCCAAGTGAAAATAAATACCACTCCCAAGGTTTACATGGTTTATTTTGGTCATTTTCCACAATGCGGTATTGCACAATGTTTGCAAAGCTTGAGAACATTATTCCCATTGCACTGGACTCCAACAGGCTGTCAAAATACAGCCAAAATATTTGACATACTTGACAATGCATGGATTCTAGTTAGTGCCATGGTAACAAGTCTGTTGCCCAACACCAGTTTGTGACTCACAGCCAAACGAAAATAAATTAGACAATAGGAGAGTGAGATTATGAACAGAATTTAGCAAAAAAATTGCAGTCTTCCTATTGGGAGATGTGTCTGAGGATATTAGGTGCTTCCAACTTGTGTTTCTATGTGCAATGCCTAGAGATATGCAGAGTAATTAGCATTTGTTTCCTTTCTCTGGAAACATCTGGGCCCATCAAGCTCACCACATAATCCCAGAGGGTGAATCCAAGCCTATCCGCCTACACTTTGAAAGCAATATTTCAATTTGACAGAACATTTACTATGGCATTCTCTACTATTATTATGGATATGACAGTAAATTGGCTTACCACATGGCATAGATAACCATTGTCAGCCATGCATAAGAGCTCATAATCACAGTATAGTATCTGCTTAAAAAAAGTAATGAATGTCCTCCAAGGTGATGGCAAATTAAATCAGAAAAAGGAACAGATGACTTCATTTAAATTCAGGCTCAGGGAGGCTCTGAGGAGAAATACGCACAGAACAAACTACAGACAACACTCGGCCAATGAGCAGACCAATTTTCATGTTGTTTAAACAAGGAGCTTACACTGGCAGTGAAAACAAAACACAAAGCAGCCAGCCGGTACTCATTCATTTCAAATGCAAGCTGGGAGACAAGAAGTGACAAAGACTGTGGACGGTAGAAATATCTCAGCAACTACAACAGTAGAGGAAAGATGAGCAGAGTTCATCTTTATGCAAATGAGTGGGGAGGCGGTCGACTGAAGGGCAGATGTGTTGACTTTAGTTCAGTTTGTTCTGAACAAATGCAAAAAAAAGAAAAAAGCTGATGCTTTCTATTTATTGTGCATTGACATCAGAAACAGGAAAAAGTGTGAAGGAAAATTACAGAAAACAAATAGTTTTCCAGTCAATTTAATGTTGTTATGGCATGTTATGTAATTCCTCAAAATTCACAGTATGGACAGCAGAGGAAAGACACAGGGTGAACTTCCAGTGCATGACAAAGTCACTATCAGCGTTAGCAAACAGTTAAAATGGACATGTATGCAAATAAAAATAGGACATAAAAAAGCTCTCTAACACACAGTTTGAGAAAGAACATACTGTACATAACAAAAAATACAGTAGGTCTAAAAACAAGTAGATTGGTCTGTTTGAAATCCTAAATGCTGGTGATGGCAGTTTTCATATGTAGACTAAAAGCTTCATTTGAGCTTTAGTAAGTGAAACTATCACCTTAAAGCTCTGTCGATCAGGCTTCTGTCCACTGTTTACACCTAAAATCTATCTTTTAGTATCAGACACTTGCCTTCTATAGGCTTTAAAGGTAGATTATGGATCATGAGTAGCTTGCTCCTTTACGGTGATACTTATATGGCCAGTGGTGTATTGACATTTGCTCAGTTGCTGGACGGGGCTGATTGCTAATGCTTGCAGAGTTAACATAGGGATGTTGTTTCAGCTAATACCTCCGAGTGGCTGCTGGTTGCTGTGTATTGTAATGTCACAAGCATTATTTGTAAGACCAACATAATGCTTGTACCGACACAGATGAAACACAAACTAAAGTGTTAAGTAAGCAGACATTGCTGTGGTGGGGTTTTCTTGCTGGTTAGTGTCACTGTAAATTGGTGGGTGTTATTATTATATATTATTAAATGTGGTATTCTTAAAAGAATATTACGGGATACTTGAAACAAATGAGAGTTTCACTGCAGGGGGAGACATGATGTTTCTCCCTGTTTGGACAAGTGTTTATATGAGTGGATGGTTTAACAGAAATTATTCAAGACAAATGAATTAAGTCCTTCACAGTGCCATGTCTGACTTGCACGCTTTGCCTCACTTTACTCCCAGTCCCAGGTTGACATGTGCACAATAGTATCACAAAATAACCCGTAGTCTTCTGTGACAAGCTCTGTCCAAGGCTGCATGGAAGTCACAGTCATTACAGCCTACCTACTCCAGTGATGTAGGTAGAGAGGAGAGCTTCCCTGAGGACTGACAGCTCGCCACACACCACCACCGTGCAGCCTGAGAGTGAGTCAGCTGCCTGCCTACAACCTGGATCCCTGTCCGCAGTCGCACAACACAGACAGAGAAAGCAGCGAGTAGGAAACCCCCTGGGGCCACTGAACTGGTTATGTGCTAGGCAGTGTGTGTGTGT